CCCGGGGAGGCCCGACCGGCCAACTCGGCCAATGAGAGGGCAGGAGCAGGGCGGGGCTGGTGGAGGAGGAGGAGAGCGGGAGGATCCAGGGAAGGAGGAGCGCGAGGTTGAGAGAAGCGGGGCGGTGGGGGACGCCTGTGCGCACAAGGTTAGTGCTCGCACCTTTCCGGTCCTGGGTGTTGTAGCCCCTGAACGTTCGCGTCCAGAGGTCTTCTGGCCGTCCAAGAACAAACTTTTGAATCGTCCGATTCCTAATCCTTGGAAGCTGAGATGGGAAAGATGGGGGACGGAGGAGGGAAAGCCCGTTCTCCACAACTGCTCACGCGCGCATGTCCTCTCGACACTGTTGTATCCCCGTTTCACAGATGGGAAAATAAACCGCGGTCTCTCCTTCCCCATCCTTTGAGGGAACTAAAGGAATTTCCAACCTTCCCCACCCCCAGGGACGGGCCAGAAGCATTTGTAAGTATTAATTGTGTCACCGAGGAGCACCAATTAGATGTCCGTGCTTCCCCTAGGGACTCCTTATGAGCCCTTGGCTTGTTGTTGTGAACTGATTTGCCTGCTCAGTTACCCATCCCTTAATTACTCACCCTGCATTGAGGGCGACCCCAGCAACTAGTGAGTGTTCCCTGTGAACCAGGAGGCTAGTACGGATCAACGATCGACCAGGAGCATTTATGAAGCCCTTACAGCGTCCCCAACAATGGTTTGTATTGGGCTCTATTTGCACCAGTATTGAGGATTTATACTACACTTGCCGTCTGCTTCCCCTACGGAGTAGTGTCTGGGCACTCCATTCTGTCGCTAGGATAATAAAGGTCCTATTTTTTCCAAAGGAGCATTTATTGCACATGTACCGGATGCTTAGCTATGATATAGAAGGGAAAGGGAAGCCCAGGTCAAGTTGGACTCCACCGTTATCTGAGGATCTAAGGAAAACAGATTTTAATCAGATTAGTGCCTACCTCTATGGAGCTGGGGGAGCATGCCCACTCACTTTTCTGTTAAACAAAAGAGTAGGATTAGCAGTTCTTTGCTTGGAAATAGCCATGGCAATTGAAGAGAAATGTGTAAGTCTTCCCTCTTTAAAAAAATAACATGAAGTTAAATGGAGTTTTAACTCAGAAATTAATGTTCATGTATTACAAATGAAAAATATTGAACCCAGTAAGAATACATATAATGAATACAGGCCATAAATTTTATGAATTAGACTTCATTCTAATTTTTTTCTCAGGTTTAAAACATACTCAAGTAGAGTCAGCAATGACCCACAGCACATGCCAGAAATATTTCCCTTAGTTGCAAGACTTGGCGTTTAAAACTGAAAGATCCTCACTATGCGCCACACTGAGCTTCACAGACTTGATTGTTTCCATCTAGTCTTTTGATGTGTGTGATAAAGAACTAGTGTCTAGATTCTACAACATAAAATGGACATCTATGAATCAATTAGAAAAGGACAAACAATACACTAGAAAACGGACAGTGGACATGAATAGGTAATCCACAGCAGAAGACACCTGAAATGGCCAATATGTAATAACCTATGAAAAGGTAACTCAATCTCTTTAGTTATCAGGGAAATGCAAAATTAAAACAATAATTAGATACATTTCACATCTACTAGGTATGGTGTTTCATATTTTGTCACAGGAGCTTAATAGAGAGTGGGCACTCAATAAATATCTGTCAAATTTTATAGCCTTTGTAGTCATTCTGTGTTATGGTTTCTGGGATATTTAAAATGATCTCCCCATAATTAAAGAGATGAAAATTAAAAGTCAGATCACATTTTTCATTTATTAGACTGGCAAAAAATTGCCAAACCTCATAATAACATTTATCTATCATCTATCTGTCCATCTCTCCGTCCGTCTGTCTGTCTTTTTCTAACCTATTTGATAGTAGTTGCAGACATGATGCCCTTTCAACTAAATAGTTAAGTATGAATTTCCTAACAAAAATATTTTTTTACAATCCTACCAGCAGTGGACATATTGGAGGGTTCCAATATGTCCACATCCTCATCAACATTTGTTATTTGACTTTTTGATTCTAGCCATCCCAGTGGGTGTGCCAATAATGTCCCTCTGTAGGAAAAGGAAATCCTGGGTCACGAGACGCATTTTGTTATCAAGTCTTTTCAGTCTCTTTCAATGTGAGCAATGTCTCAGTCTTCCCTTAACTTTCATGACCTTGATGTTTTCGAAGAGCCATAGGCCAGTTAGTTGGAAGAATGTCCTTTAATTTGGGTTTATCTGTTATTTCCTCAGAGTTAGATTGCATTTTGGCAGGAATTCCACAGAAAAGTGACCTGTGTTCTTCTTAGTGTATCTGGAGGCACAAAGTATTGGTTAATTCCCAAATTGTTGTTATTAGCTTTGATCATTTGATTAGGTGGTGTCTTCCAGGATTTTCCACTGTAAATGTACTATTTCCCTTTGTAATTAATAAATATCTTGTAGGGACATACTTTGAGACTATGAAACTCTTCTATTTTTCTTCAAACTTCCACTCATTAGTTTAGCATCCATTGGTGATTGTTGCCTGAAGCAATTACTACTATGATGTTGGCCAAATAATGATTTTCTTTTATATGTATAGCTGGAATTTTACTGTAAGGAAGAGCTTTCCCTTTTCCTCATGTATTTATTTATTTGTTTATTTATTTATCAGTATGGGGCTCATGGATTCTTCTTTTAATTCACAGTTTAAAGTTAGTTACTATCTTTATGTCTAAAAGTAGCTTAATCGAGATATAATTTACATATAATAAAATTCACGTGTGTTAGTTGTACAACGCAATGGTAGTATATTTATAGACTTGTGTAAAAATCACCACAACATAATTTTAGGACATTTCAATCACCCAAATAAGAAACCTTGTGCCTATTAGCAGTCACTCCCCATCTACGCCTGATAGCTCTAGGCAATCACTAATCTCCTTCTGTCTACAGATTTGCTTATTCTGGACATTTCATATAAATGAAATCATATGATATGTCATCTTCTGTGTCTTGTTTCTTTCACTGAGCGTAATGTTTTCTAAATTATGTTAAAATGTATATAACACAAAATTTACCATCTTAACCGTTTTTAAGTGTACAGTTCGGTGGCAATAATATTGTCATGCGACCAACACCACCATCCATCTCCAGAACTTTTTTTCATCTTCTCAAACTTAAACTCCATACCCATTAAACATCAACTACCCATTCCCCTTCCCCTAGCCCCAAGTAAACACCATTTTACTTTCCGTTTCTATGAATTTGACTACTCTAAGTACCTCATATAAATGGACTCATACAGTATTTGCCCTTTTGTGACTGGATTATTTCATTTACCATAATGCCCTCCAAAGAATATATGTATAGAATATATGTATAGCATGTATCAGAATTTCCTTCCTTTTTAAGACAATAATATTTCATTGTATGTATACGCCATATTTTCTTTATCTGTTCATCCATCGGTGGATGCTTGGGTTTCTTCCACCTTTTGGCTATTGCGAGTAATGCTGCTATGAACGTGGATATACAAATATCTCATTGAGTCTCTGCTTTCAATTATTTTGGGTATATATCCAGAAGTGGAATTGCTGGATCATATGGTAATTCTATTTTTAATTTTTTGAGGAACCACCATACTCTTCCACAGTGGCTGTACTATTTTACATTCCTACCAACAGTGCACAAGTGTTCCAACAAGGGTATCCTCACCAACATTTCTTATTTTTTATTTTTTTGTAGTAGCCATCTTAATGGGTTTGAGGTGGTATTTCATTGTGGTTTTTATTAGTGATGTTTAGCATCTTTTCATGTGGTTATTGGCCCCATCTATACATATATTCTTTGGAGAAATGTCTATTCAAGTCCTTTGCCCTTTTTAAAATGGGAATGTCTGTTTTTGTTGTTGTTGAATTGTTGGGTTCTTTATATATTCCAGATATTAGCCCCTATCAGATATATGATTTGTAAGCATCCTTTCTCATTTTGTGGATTGCCTTTTCACTCTGTCTATTGTGTGTTTTGATACTCAGAAATTTTAAATTTTGACATAGCCAACTTATCTATTTTTTCTTTTGTTGCCTGTGCTTTTGGTGTCATATCCAAGAAATCATTACTCGATCCAATGTCATGAAGCTTTCCCCTATGTTTTCTTTTAAGAGTTTTATAGTTTTAGGCTTTAACATTTAGATGTTTGATCTATTTTGAGTTCATTTTTGTATATGGTGTGAGGTAAAGGTCCAACTTCATTCTTTTGCATGTAGATAGCCAGTTTTCTTAGCACTATTTGTTGAAAAGAACTATCATTATTTAGTTCAATGCTCAAAGTATTCTAGATGTGGCCAGTGGGTGTCCCCTCAAGCTGGCTTCTGTGTCCTTTTGACATATCTCCATCATTTTTTGAGAACATCTTTTCTTTAGATTACATCAGGATATTTCAGGCTCGTCTTGCACTTTCCTGGTTCCAAAGTCAGCCATTTACCCCAAGAAGTCTTGTTTCCTTTTAGTGGAGAATGGCATTTAGGAAACCAAGATCTGGGCACTAGAAGTGCTCATTGCTTCTGTAGTGTGGCTGATTCTAGGCCTTCACAGTGGACCAAGTTCCAACTGACATCTACAATACCAATCCCACACCAGAATGTCCATCCTAGCCTTTTCCTTTTCTATATTTGTAACTCCTTCCTCCGACAGTGAGAAACCTGATTTTCACTAGCCACAAGAATTTTATTATTTGCTCAGTCCTAGGATACACATTCAGTAGTTTCAGATTCGATAACTGATACCACCGTGGAAGACAAGTCTACCAACTAGAGGTCAATATTTGTTACAGTCCTTTTTGTCTTTAGCCTAATGGACACCATGTTCAAAAGTTACTTGGGTTAGTTCTTCCTACTCCCCTTCAGTGAGGCTGTGTTTGAAATATAATTAAGTTTCATCTGTTTCTGATTGTATTGTTTCAGGATTTTCCCCATCCTCATTAATTTTATTTATTTATTTTAAGTGTGTGAAACATTAACATGGTTTCAAAAGTTGGAAGTATTCCAACAAGCATACTCAGAGAAGTGTCACTTCTCTATTTCTCTAACCTGCTCCCACCCAGCCCCCTTAGGCAACCAGTCTCAATAGTTGCTGGTTTATCCTTCCTATGTTTCTTTTTGTAAAGATAAGCAAATATACATATGTTTTCTTAGATTAGCTTGTTTCTTACATGAAGGCTTGCATATTATAGATACTTTTGTGCACTTTGCTTTTTTTCACTAAACAGTATGTCCCGGAAACAACTCCTCATCAGTTCATAGCTTTCTTTCTTGATCTTTTTACAGTGGCATAGGACTCCATTGTGTGAATGTACCAGTTTATTCAACCGTTGCCTATGTATACAACTTGGCATTGTTGTCAATATTGTTAAAATTATCAACCGTGCTGTGATGAATAATCTTGTGCATAGGTATTTTCACATTGTTGGAGGTGTATCTTTAGGGCAAATTGCTGGAAGTGAGATTGCTGGGGCAAAAGAGAAACACATGCATTTTTGTTAGATGCCAAATTTCCTTCCATCGGAGATGTAAAAAGGACATTTAACAAAGCACAAAGAAAAGAGCTGCTATTCACAGGAGAAACCAGTCTTTTTTTGCTGCCATTCAATAGGAGTAGGAAGAACTAACCCAATGTTAGTTTTAAGATTGAGGGATTTAATTTCACAAAGACTGCTTTTTTTTTTTACAGTGATTAAATTTCACCAACATTGTTGGAGCCTCTGCAGGTGGTTATGCCCTCCCTCCCTGCCACAACCTGATGCTGCCATAGGAGCCACGCATGTCACAGAGGCAGCAGCTGAGGTCACATGTGGTAAGCCACGTGAGGGGCCATCTATGGACAGGTATATGTGATTCAAAGCCTATCTGTCTGGGCTACAGGTGATTTACAGATTAAGCATTTGTTTTTTTCTGGGATCCTAGGTCTCCTAAAAACTCTTATCAAAGCCCTCTCCTTTGGAATACATTGAGAAAGAGAAAAGTAGTCCCCACATCCAGGAAGTG